CAGAAGTTGTAATGTACAAAGTGGGAAAAATAAAATGGATAGATGCATCTTGCAAATGCAGACTTGAGAGCTATTGCCTATAGTGGGCAAAATAAAAAATAAAGATTTATGTATATATTATAAAAGCTACCAATAAAACAACTATAGATATATAGTCTGGGGAGGAAAAGAGGTGAGAGAGCTGAATCTTCATCTATTATAGCAAGTAATATATCTTAAATCTTACAAATTAAAAAATTGTGTAATATACATTTAAAGATTTGGCCAGTAAAATACCACTTAAAAAAAAAAAAAAAGAGTAGCCACATACATAAAAGGAAAATCAGGTGAATGAGGAGTTTCAACTGTGTCAAATGCTGTAAGGAGTTCAATTAAAATAAGGACTTACAATTCAAAAAGACAAACTGGATGCTCTGGTTAAGAGTTCCTGGTTTAGACAAAATGCAAGGTATAATAAGTTCTTTTAGAAATATCTCTAAATTTCAGTTCTAGGAGATTTTACAGCAATTAGATAGCTACAAACTAAACTGAAGAAAAATCTACAACCAGCAGAAGTTATAAGTAACTGATTTTACATTATAATCTCTACCAGTTATATACTATCTGTCCCAAAAATTTTATTTTTTCTACCTTCATGTATAAATATCTTCTGTGGCTATTCAACTTGCTAGTTTTTAGGTCATTAAAAAAAGAATCAAACTAAGAGAATGTAACATTGTTTCCATGACAGTTTAAACACACATTTGTAGAAAGTAAATCTTTTGCCAGAAATTGTGCATCCTTTTCCTAATGATTCATCATCACTTTTTACATCCTCTCCACTGAACCCCTGCATCACTTCTCCCATGTCTCCCAAACTCTTTCTCTATGCTCCTTTCTTAAAAGCTTCAGACTTTGTGGAACTCCTAATAAAAATTCTGAAACTCTTGGCAATAAGTACAAGGCACAACAATTTTCACTAACAGATACTTCCTCTTTCTCTTGGAACAGTTTGCTTGTTTTTGAGACCATAAAGACCCTATAATTTTAAATTATTTTACAGCGTCATAAAATGTTTGGCTAGATGCCACTTTAAAAGTTCAAAATGTCATCAAAGTCATGTTCATAGTCGCAGTCCACTGATCAGAGACAGTTTTGACAGATAAAATAGCCATTTAATAAAAAAGATACTCCTGCATTCACTGAAGCTGCCAAAACTAGGAAAACTTCAACAGTGAATAGCCCTGTCACAAGAGAGCAAGATTCATGGCCTCTGGTACCATACCTTGTTCTACCATCAGTAACTTCAATGTCTACAATAATTTCAACCGATTGTCTCTCCTATGGTGGCCTTCACTTCTTCTCTTTTCCAACCAATTCACTCTGATAAACACAACAATGGCTTCCATATTGCTTAGATTTCATTACTTAAATGTGTTATATCTCTAAACTTACTCAATATTTAACCTCAAAAACTTACTCTGACCATAAATTCCCACTATTCCAGCACATATTAATGCTCTTACTTAATATGCTCCTCATTTGCAACTTTAATTAGACTTCCAGTCCCAGAAACATAAATTTTTCTTCCTATGTGTTGCTAACCTTCTGTTTTTTAATTCCTTAAAATCTCACCTAGACTATCTGACGAATATTTCCATCTTTTCCTTTGTCATCACACTTAAAATTTTTATTCCTTGTCTTTGATTCCTTGTCTTTGTTCTTTATCAGACATTTGGCTTCTCTTCTGTTATACTTAGCTACTCTGCGCTCTTGGAATAAAACCACCCAACCATTCAGGCTAAAGTTGCTATAATTTCATGGTCTCTAACCTCATTTTGTTCCTCAGAATTTTCCTTCAACCTTTCAACATTTTCCCAGTAGCTCCCTCTGGATATCAAAAATGACCTGAAAAAATGGAGAGACATACTATGTTTCTCAAAGTGACATCACTGTCGTAAAAACGTTAATTCTTCTGAAATTAATAAGTAAACTTAAATGTGATTTGAACAAGATTGTCACCATTTATTTTCTATTTTAACTGATTTTAAAGTTCCTATGAGGCTGAGCACAGTGGCCCATGCCTGTAATCCCAGCACTTTGGGAGGTCAAGGCAGGCAGATCACTTGAGCACCTAAGAGTTCAAGACCAGCCTGGGGAACATGGCAAAGCTCCATCTCTACAAAAAAATACAAAAATGAGCTGGACATACTGGTGTGTGCCTGTAGTCCCAGCTACTCAGAAGGCTGAGGTAGGAGGATTGCTTGAGCCCAGGAGGCAGAGGTTGCAGTGAGGCAAGATCATGCCACTGCACTTCAGCCTGGGAGACAAAGTGGGACCCTATCTCAATGACTAAATAAATAAATAAATAAATAAAGCTCATATGGAAGAATAGGTATATGGTAACTGAAACGTGAAAAGAACAGTAGAAGCCTATTTTCCCTATAAGTTATGAAAACTTACTACAAAGTTATTATAATAAAGAGTCTGGTGTTGGCATTAAAATGGGTAAGTGAAATGGATAGTCCAGAAAAACATGCACATATTAAAACTTAACATGAGATAAAGATGGCATTCTCATAAAAAAACGAATAGTTTAACTTTTAAAAGGTTATTAGCAAATTGACTAGTCAATTGAAATAAAATCAAGTTAGATCCTTACCTAACACTGTGTACAAAAATAAGTTTGAGGCTGTGTGCTTTGGCTCACGCCTGTAATCCTTATGCTTTGGGAAGCCTAGGCAGGCAATCACTTGAGGTCAGGAGTTCGAGACCAGCCTAGCCAACGTAGTGAAACCCCATCTCTATTAAAAACACAAAAATTAGCCAAGTGTGGTCGTGGGCACCTGTAAAATCCCAGCTACTCAGGAGGCTGAGGCAGCAGAATCCCTTGAACCTGGGAGGCAAAGGTTGCAGTGAGCCAGGATCGTGCCACTGCTCTCCAGCCTGGGTGACAGAGTAAGACTCCATCTCAAAAAAAAAAAAAAAAATTGATGGATGGAAGGACTAACTTTTAAAGCCTTATTACAATTTTGAATAAAAAATGCTAGATTACTTGGATAAACTTGAAACAGAGAAACTTAAGAAAAATGAAAAAAATAATTTTTCAAAAAGAGAAATTAGAACTGATGTGTATTATTTCATAAATCTACAACCTACTGCTATAAAGTTTTAACATTATAAAGTGTTATAGTTCTAACCAAGTAAAACTGTATTTCACCATTTAAATAATATTAAATATAGCTCCAGGGCTATATAAGAGTGGTATATTAGTTATATAAATTGCCCCCTTATTAGAATTTTTATTTTTGCCTTATTTTTCTAGCTGAAAGAGCAGAGGGGGTCTACATGTGGATTCCAAGTGAGCTGAAGGAAATACATTGATATAAGTTAATCCTATAACTAAAATTTAAAAAGCATACCTGCCTAAATATATGTTAGACTTTAACTCTAGACAATTTCTAAAACATTATTCTCATGCCACTCAAATTACTTCCTTTACTATATATACATTTTCATATGAAAGGGTCAAAGAATTCCAGCTGAAAACTTGAAGTAAAAGCTATATTGTATTGTATTTAGTTTTAAAAGGTGTTTCAGAGTTTAGTTAAGGTAATAAGACACATATGCTTCATCAAATTAAACAAAATTAAAATGTATTATATCTTTGATTTTTAGGCTTTATTTTTAAATTATGTAAATATAGTTAGCCCTCAGTGGGTTCTACACCCATAGATTAAACGAAATGAATCAAAAATAATCTGAAAAGAAAAATTCCACAAAGTTCCAAAAGCAAAACTTGAACTTGCCACATGCTAGGTACTATGCCAAATCCACGCAAATGAAGTGATGTGTCGGCATTGTATTAGATACTATTCAAGTAATCTAGAGATGATTTCAAGTATATGGTAGTATGTGTATAGTTTATATGCAAATACTATCCCATTTTATATAGGGAATTGAGTATCTGCAGATTTGGATATTTGCAGGGGTCCTGGAACCAATCCCCCATGGAGACTGAGGGACAGTTGTACAAATACATATTTAAATTATACACGCACTATAAAGATATAGATACTTTATGTCCCTCTGAATTTACTTGATTCCAATATGCTTTTCTGAGAGGAAGAGAAACATGTGGAGTCTAGATAACGCACTCAGCATTGCTCATAAACCTAGGGATATGTTATCATGTGGTAAATGTATCATAGAAGAAAAGAGGTTGGGAGTCACTGGAACAGATAGTCTAGAGCACAGCTGGAGTCACTATTCAGATCGTATGCCCGATTGCTTACTGCTAGTAGTTAAAGAGTAAGGCTTTGTGATGGCTGCTGAGGACAGAACAACAGCAGTTAAATCAATCAACCAGGATTCCTTTCCTCATGGAGCTTACATTCTAATGGGGAAGACACACATGAAACAACTAACTACTAACTAGTTCTTTGGTCATAGTTACGGTTAAATACAAAGAAGGGGAGGTGCAGGGTACTGAGAGATAAAAAGGACACCTGCTCTATTCTTTGGAGTCAGGAAAGACTTTTTTGGAAGATGTGAAATTTAAACTTCAGACCTCTATGGGTGAGCTGAAGTTAGCTAGGGCTGGATCAGAGAAATAGTGCAGGGAAGTGATTGCTGTCAGGGCAGAAAAACACTATTCCTATAAGAAAGGTTCTGAAGTAGGAAGTAACTGAACTGAAAGACAGTGATGCTGCAATAGCAGAAGAAGATGGTTGATGGCATGAGATAAAAGAGATGAAGTGGGCAAAAGGCATCATAGACTATGGTAAGCAATCTAGGCTTTTCCCTATGAAAAATATGAAGCGCCCTATGAAGAGTGTTTTAATTAGGAGAATATCATAGTAAGATTTATATTTCCAATTTTTCCATCTTAACTTCTAATTTCAACAAGTTTTCTTCATAAAGCTCTTTAAAAATAATTATATGTCAAATGGTTTCTAATTCCCGCTCCAAATTCAATTATCTAAAAGATGCTTGTATCTTGAAAGAATACCATCGCATACCCTGTTTCCTCTGGGAATGCAGAGAGGGTGCTTCCATCAAGCTGACAGGGGTCATGAGGAGAGTCAGAATCTTTTCTATCTTCATCTGTAGCAATACTGGCTACCCGTTGTTGTTGCAAGTCCCACTGTCGAGCTACATTGTTAATTGTTAACCTTTTCTTCTCCTAGGAAAAAGTTAATTGTGACAAAAGTTATGTAACGCATTTTTTGTAGCAGAAGTGACATCTAAGAGGCATACTGTTTGTACTTATAATACTTTTTCTTATAATACTTTTAAAAGGAGCCTGGTTTTTATAAGTAGCTACCCAATATACATTCTAAAACAAGATTTGGGAGGCCTGTATTTACTCTCTGCATTCAAAATTTCCAATAATGATCTAACACTCTAAAGGAAAAAAATATGCAAACAATTATTGCTCTTTAGGAACTTAATTTTATTAAAAATAAATATACAACCAACTAGAGATTAAAAATTCAAAATCTGATTGCATACTTATTGTTATCTGAAGTTTTAAACAGAAATTTATATGCCTGTAACACAGTAAGAAAAAACTAACAATATCTTAGTTTGTCTACTCAATAATTAAGACTGATAAAGTGAAATAATCTTGGAGGGGAGAGGGAAGGAGTTGATCAATGTTCCAAGTTTCTCAGAATAAATTATAATGTCTGAAACTTAACGGTTATTCTCTAGACTATTAAAAGAAATTATACTAGGTTGAAATGTCTCTAAATAACTAGTACCATCCCAGATGAATATGAAAGAAATTAATTCATTATAAGCAATGGATGCCTTAAGGTCGTGGTTCTCAAGTTTCAGGGTACCTCAAATCATCTGGAGGTTAAAACAGATTGCTTATTTAGAGTTTTGAAGTAGGGTTTGAGAATCTGAATTTCTAAGTATTTTTAAGTATTCTAACATTGCTAGTTCATGGACCTCACCTTGAGAACCACTGACTTATAGCATTGGAGCTCAATCCTCTCACAGAAACCTGGTTGTGAAAAAGCAGATCTAGACTACTGAAAGAAATTGTGCTAAATTGAAATGTCTTGATTATATGTATATATATATATATATATATATATATATATGGAAAAAAATCCCTATTCTGGTAAAGTTTCAATTATCAAAAGATAATATTTAATTACAGCTTATCAATTAGATCAGAATGCTGAAAATAGACATTGTAGTCTTTCCTAAGACTACAATCCTGCATTGAAAAATCAGCTGAGCGTGACACTGACCCCTCTTTGCCTGGTGGCTCTGGAGCCTGAGAAGGCTAGTAGGAAGGTTCTCTGTCCACTTTTTGAGTGCATATATACATGTAGAATAGTTCTTTTTAGTTGTACCTCTTCACATTATTTGTATAATTTTGGGTTATCTAAGATTTTAGCATGTATGCATGGCATTAGATAGGAATAAAAAGTGATATGGCTTGCTTAATTAAAACTGAAGTTTTTAAAGTTCTACTTCTGTTTTAAAAAAATTTGGGGTGGGGGTGCAGCGGTCCACACTTGAAATATCAACTGCTTGGGAGACGAACTCAGGAGGACTGATTGAGCCCAGGAATTGAAGGCTGTAGTGTGCTATGGTCACACCTGTGAACAGCACTCCAGCCTGGGCTACAAAATAAGACACCATCTCTAAAAAAAATGTTTTGGGCTTCTTTTTATCTACTGTTTGGTGTTTCAAATTTGAGTGTACAATTCAGTGGGTTATATTTAATATGTATATACTTTGGAGACTTTTTGACATTTCATGTATGTGCTCCTTACATAAAGCAAGTAGAAATCTGCAATTCTTATTGTAAATCCCTAATCTGTAATAAAAATGCTTCTTACCTTAAGGAATTCTATTTAAGTTACTTGCTGATGACTGTGCCAACCCAATTTTTAATCTAAGCAATCTTGGGCTTTCTTTCTTTTTTTTTTTTTTTTAAACTCAGTATCAAGGCCACTTTGAAAGAAGCCATGGCAGTCAGTTAATAGATGATAGTTCTCATGCTGGCTTCATGCATTTGGTTTTCTGGCTGGCAGGGGTAGGCAAAAGAAATATTCTGAATGAGGTAGATATAGCAGTGCTTAGAAAAAGGGCATAAAATATCTTTAGACCACTGAGTATGTTAACAAATTTATAACAGGATAGTCTTTGAAAATGCAAACACTTTCCTACATTCGTGCTGAAGTTAAGCTTCCTTAATTTAAGTTATTAAAGTCAGATCAATACTGGGTTGACTAAGAGAATGATTAATTTTACTGGGGCCTGGAAAACGGAAGACATATTTTAAGACAGGAGTATAGCCTATCTTAAGGTCAGGTGGGGATTAATTAATGGCTGGCCAGGAGGACACATAAGGGCTGTGAGCATCTCTGTAGAAAAAAAATAAAAGAAGCAGCAGCAGCAGCAAAAGAAGGGTTAGAGAATGTTAGAGATTCTGCAAGGCAGAAGGGGGTACCCCCAAAAAAGTTTAAAGATCACAGAGGCATTTGGTATATCAGTGACAATTATGTTTCTAATAGCTAGATGCCAATAAATGGCCAAGTATGTGCTAGAGTGACAAATATTTTAGAAGGTGCCAAATTCCAACTTCTGCCAGTTGAGTCTCTTTTTCATAGTCCAGAGAAGACCACAACAGTGTATGCCATAAGTTTTACTTCCCTTCACTTCTCAGGTTGCAAGGAAAATAAAAAGATAGAAAAGCAACAAGGCAGAAGATAGTGTCTATACACTCTTCCTGTCCTAAACCCAATCCATCTCATTTTCTTAATGATCAATATGTATAGCTGCATGAGCAATCCTTACCAAATGCTGAGGGTCTGTTGTATCACGATTCCAAATCTGACCTAGGGCTAGAACCTGGGTCTCCTGATTCCCCGTGGTTTTCCTCTTACTAAAAATAAAAATACTAAATAAACCTCGTAACTAAAGAGTCTTATTTAGTGACACTTTGTTTTGTCTCACTATATTTTCCTGAGGCTGTACTCAAATTCCTGGGCTCAAGCAATCCTCCTGCCTTAGCCTCCCAAGTAGTTAAGACGTCAGGTACATACCACCTTGCTTGGCTGGTAATTTTTTTGAACTCTGAGTGCCATTTTAATTTTAAAAAGAAATGCTTCTATATAGAACATGAATGAGTAATGATAATCAAGGTGATATCCTTAATTTTAGAAAATAGCACAATGCATATTACGAACTATACACTGTAAGCTGTCTTTATTTATTATACTTTGTGATATTAATATAAAATACTTAAAAGATAATACTTTAAGGAAATTAATATCTGCTAAATAATTTTAAACCAATTTAAAACAAATTTCCATTTCTAGTTCCACAAAATCTTTATCACTTCTATATCAGAAACTGTTTAAATTTAAAAAGTTATCATTTAAAAAACATGTAGCAGAGTTCATTTATATATATATAATATATATATATATATTATATATATGTAAAGATGACAGTCAATTACAGTACTTTCCAAAATGAAGTGAACAGGCCATGGGATACACAAGATGATGCACTGGTATGAAATAAAAGTGTTATAATTTCAATTATATTTATTTTTCATCTCTTCCTTTTAAAACTTTCTTCATTCTGTTGAATGAAACTTATAAAGCTTAGAAACCACTTTTCCAGTAGACTGCCTCACTACCTTCTGGGTATGCGTGTCTACATGTGCACACATATCCAGGCAGACATCAGAGAAAATACCTTAAGCAACGATTGTTTATGACTTTCCCGTTTCTTCTCTTCCTCTTTTTTGGCTAAAACAGATGCCATACGCCTTTCTTCTTCCTAAAAGACATTTTCCAAAAAGTATTATGAAGAGTTTAATCATTTTTAAAAATGCTAAATGTCTTTGGTCCCCTAAGTACAGTTTTCTTCTTGAGAGACATAGTATTTGCTAGCAGAAAATATACTCTTAAAGAAAAAGTTAGCATCTTTCTCTTTATTTTCTTCTTCCCTCTGAATGCTAAAAATCTGTGCATTCCTAACTCTGCTTCTGGAGGTGACATGAACCTAGCTCATACAAGAAAGAAAAAAGAGTGGGAAGAAAAGGAAAACTGTGTTTGCATAATTTTCCTTTTGTACTCCAGGTAGTACATAGACTTAAATTTTCCATCATCAAGATAGGAAGGATAAAAGTGATACATCTAACAATGTTGATTGGATTTGTGATAGAAAATCAGAACTTTTTTGATGAAAAAGCAAGGGTAAATATCTTTTAAAACTCCAATTATATTAATAAATTATTTCCCATTAATATAATTAATTACTTTTGGTTTGTTTTTTAAGTTATGTTTCCCAGCCTCATTTCTTAAGTTCTAAAAGCTGTGAAAGATAGCATGATGATCGTAGTTAATAATCCTCTATTGTAATCTTGGCATCTGCTAAGAGAATAGATCTTAAATGTTCTCACTACAAAAAATAATAAGAAAAATAATTAGGTGAAATGATAGAAATATTAACTAACTTGATTGTGGAAATTGTTTTGTAATATAGATCAAATCACCACATTGTATACCTTAATTTTATACAGTTTTGTCAATCATACCTCAACAAAGCTGGAAAAAGTAGAAACGATGAAATAACATTATAGACAGTTTAGCAAAATGTTTTAAAAATCAGTCATAATCCCAAACACCTAACTCAAATCTTACAATTTCTATGTATTACCTAATAATATTCACTATGAGCAAATTTTTTAAAGGTTCTAATCTCTATACAAAATCTGGACCATTTTTCCCCCTGAACACTGTCAAATTTTAATAAATTATAACCATGTCACTTTTAATTTTCATTACCAAAAGATTTGTAGATACTCAAAATGATACGATAAATTGAGAAAATAATTTCATCAAAAAAGCCAAGCATGAAAATATCTTCAGAGATAGGAAACTATAACAAGTAACCTAGCAGATTTGAATAACTCTCTTAGAAACAAAAAATTATAAGAATTGAAATTTAAAATTCAACAAGTGAGATTTAATAGCAGATTATACAGAGCTGAAGAGAGAATCACAACCGGAAAATAGAGAATGAGAATGTTTTCTATATGTTTTAGAATCACCCTACATATTTCTCTATCATAGCACTTAGCCTGTCTCATTTTAATTATTTCTGGTGCTATCCCTCTTGTCTCCCACCCCATACAATAAGATCTATGAATGTATAAACCATGTCTATTTAATAATTTATTAAAATTGAAATTTCTATATCAAATGGTAGACATATTTCTATCTTTTTGATATGTCTGCAAACTGCCCTCCATAAATGCACTTCTAATTTATAGTTCTACCAGATTTCAACATTTGATTTAAAACCTAATGGTTAGTCATAAGAGCTGTTCATCAAATATTCTTGTGTCTTCGTGTGACCAAGACACATTGTGAGATAGCACTTCCAGCCCCCTTGAAATTAGATGTGGCCATAGGACTTGCTTTGGTCAAAGTCATCTAAACAAAAGTGACATGTATTTACTTCTGGTTGAAAACTTTCAAAGACAATGTATGATACAACTATTCTCTCTCTCACCTTGCTACAGCGCCTGCAAAACTCCACAGGTGGGTACTTTGAAAGACTGAGTACCAGAATGAGGACAACACAGAGCAAAGATCCCAAATCACACATCACAGGCAGACAGGTATTAGAAGCCTGAAATAAGCTTTGTTGTTTTAATGTACTGAAGTTAGAGAAGCTGTCACTGCTGCACAATCTAGCCTATGCTGACCAGTACATGTATGTTATATTAGAATTAAAAAGGTCAAAGAGACTATGAACATGTTTTCTAGAGGATGGGCCATTATACACACTCCTGAACACAAGAAAAAGCCTAGATTAAATAATTATATTTAAAAACACACAAACAGAAACCAACACAGAGTTAAAAAAGAAAACTAGGAAAGCATACACTAGACAACTCTAATTTTACAAATAAGGAAACAAATGCTCTAAAACATTAGTAACTTATATGAGGACACATAGCTAGTGACAAAGCCAGGATCAGAACCAGAAGCCATGGCCTGCTAGAAACAAAATTCATATTATTTTTTGTAATAAAGTTACATTTAAATTAATTTTACTGATTTTAGATAAAGAAGTGTTTAGAACTCAGAAGTGATCTGCCATATGATTTACTTGTTTTAAAAACAACTAAAAAAATCTAATGTGATTTTGGTGAATTTAAAGTGTCTTTTACAATATGGAAAATAATTATTCTTTTTTTTTTTTTTTTTTTTTTAAAGACAGAGTCTTGCCTCTTGCTTGTTGCCCAGGCTGGAATGCCATGGTTCTCCAGCTCACTGGAGAATCTCGGCTCACTGCAACCTCCACCTCCTGGGTTCAAGCAATATTTGTGTCTCAGCCTCTCAAGAAGCTGGGATTACAGGCATATGCCACCACGTCAGGTTAATTTTTGTACTTTTAGTACAGACAGGGTTTACTATGCTGGCCAGGCTGGTCTCAAACTCTAAGACTCAATTGATCTGCCTGCTTTGGCCTCCCAAAGTGCTACAGTGACAGGTGTAAGCCACCAATGTCCAGCTGGAAAATAATTTTCTTAACTTTTAAAAACTAAATAGAGGTAATGAGGAGAAATTAAACTAAAAATTCAGAACTTTGAATCCTAGCTTCACAAAATAGCTGGTTTAATAATTCTATTAAATTCTTTTATTCAGTAAATACTGATTTGGTACCTACAGAGTACAATCTATTTCAGAATAAAGTGTTTAAAAGAGCAAAATATATTGATGTTCAATTGTTGACTCATCTATAAAACGTGAACTAGAAACAGATTGGTTTTCCAAAGAGCCAATTTCAAACAGTACTGGAAACTGTATGGATCACGTACTACACATAGTTACAAGATGATTTCATCAGATTTTTGAAAAGAATTTGAGCTTCTATTAAAGGCAGTAGAGCTTTAAAAGGAAAGCTAAACCTCGGAAAACTGGATTTACACCAAATCAATTCAAATATTGAATGTTTTAAGGAATTTATATATCTGAGAGCTATATTTCAGCCCAAATAATTACAGAGTAACTAAACTTAGAAATAAAAATAAACCTCTAATTGTGAAGATAAGTTATAAATCTATTGGTAAGAAGGAAACACTAAAATTCTGGCACCTTCTTGATAATAGTCCAATTTCTGGGACAAAAGCCATATCCTTTATATAGCAAAATATAAAAATAAAAAAATAAAATAAGTGGGTAGTGGGATCTGGGAGCGGGATCTGGGACAAAAAACTATTTTTTTCCTCACTTCATTTTGGCCATGAAGACCCAATAGAGAAATGGCTTTAAGTTAATTAAGCCACACAGTGATTTAATAGGTGTTTGATAACCTACGTTATACTTTCTTAGCAGATACTAAGGCCTAAAACAATGCAAATATTACACAAGAAGGAGATTTGATCCAAAATAAATAATAGCAATTTATGAAATGTTAAAAATCAAATGGCAAGGTATATTTTAACCATATACTTTAGTTATAAACATTACTTTCTTTGAATACATAAAATATTAAAAGAGACTTTAAAATCACAGGATTTTTTTCCCTAAAAGAGATGGTCAATAATTTTTATTCAAACAATCACTTTTAACAGTCAAAACTGATTTTTTTGCAGGGTCATACCTAGTGTTAGAGTGAAGAACAGAAGCCATGTCACCTGACTTCTGGTCCAGGGATATTAGCTGTTAAATACTGGGGAGGGAAATAGCCAGAACAGGGTAGATTATGTTGCCGTAACAACTTCAAAACTTTCACTGGCTTATTTTTTAAAAAGTTTATTTCTTGATCATGCAAAGAACACTTCAACTGTCTTCAATGCAGTGGCTAAGTACTGCTGAGTGTTATGATCTGATGGCATCCTCAACTTGATATAGGCTTCCACAGTGATGACCACATGTGAAGAAATCACGCTTTTAAATGCTTCTGCCTGGAAATGATACACACTATTTCTGCTCACATTTCGTTGGCCAAATATCTTCCCACATGTTAAAAAGGAGGGGAGCCAGAGCATATTGGTGAACATTAGTAATGTCTACCAAAACAGAAAACTTTCTTATGCCTGAGATGAGCTCTTCTTTTATTTTTGGAGAGCAAATTGTAAAGAAGTTCACACTAAGCCAATTAAATGTGAGGCTGAGGTGAAAACTTTAGACATTGTGTCTGTTTCTGAATTGTTTTTTGTTTTGTTTTGTTTTGAGAAAGGGTTTCGTTCTGTCCCCCAGGCTTGAGTCAGTAATGAGACCTTGGCTCACTGCAGCTCTGACCTCCCGGGTTGAAGCAATCCTCCTGCCTCAGTCCCCTAGTCACTGGGACTACAGGTGCGCACCTCCATACCCAGTTAATTTTTTTGTATTTTTTGCAGATACAGGATTTTGCCAAGTTGGCCAGCCTGGGCTCGAACTCCTGACCTCAAGCAATTCACCTGCCTCGGCCTCCCAAAGTACTAGGATTACAGGCATGAGCCACCGCACCCAGCCCTGTTTCAGAATTGTGAGAATATTGCCTACATTCACAAAATGCTGCCTTAGAGATAAAAAAGAGAAAACTCTACCTCCTAGAATTTTCTATACAAGGGTCCTTGTTCTAGCCCCTCAAAAGGGGCTAGCAATAGTTCAGGTGTAATCTGATCATTGTAGAAAAAAATGGGATGGGACTGTCTCCATATTCTGAATGCTCTTTTTCTATAAATGAATATTGTTTTAAACCATATTAATAATCACATCTCATAATTGATTCAGCTTGAATTTATAAATTCCAAGTCATTTTAACACATGCTGCTAAGT